TGCCCCCCTTGTCCCCTCTCCCTTTTGTTTCTTACTCCTCTTCCTCCTTTCTTCGTATAGGTCGTCGTTTCTATCCAAATCCGTCTTGTCTCAGTTCTCTTGCCTGGCCTATCCCGTAGCCCTTTTCCCTAATCCATTTCCCCTTATTCTCCCTCCCATTCCCATTCCCCTTTCCTACCCTCTCTTCCTCACTTCCTCCATCCCCTTCCCCTTCCCCCACCCACCCCACCCTATTCCTACTCCCTGCGCCTTACTCCTTACTCCTTACTCCCTGTTTCCATCCCCCCTCCCTCTCACTCCTCACCCACTCTCCCTCACTTCCCCTCCTTTTGCCACACATATCTCTGAATGTTTAGCCTGCGGTGCGTGAGTGTTGATTGATGTTGACAGCAGTGGATTGCGTATGTTGGGGGTAGGGGTGTGGGGAGGAGGAGGGGAGAGTTGAGGGGGGTCCTTCGAAGTGCTGGATTTTTATTTCTGTTGAGGCTTTTGTATACGATGTATTTTCTTGAGCCTGGTTTAGAGAAAAGGGAAGTAGATGAAGAGATGGATAAAAATGCATCAATAGATGGGCGCGACAAGGACGGAATGTTGCACATTAATGCGGAAAATGCAGCTTGAAGTTGAATGGGGAAGAGAGAGAGGGGGGGACATGAATAACGTTACGATGATGGAAGTGAGAACGGGGAAGAACGAAGGGGGAATTATAAAAGGAGGGTGGAAGAGTTGGATAGCGAACAGAAAAAAATGAGATTGCAAAATATAATAGGAGAGAACTGGTGAAGGGGAAAGAACAGGGAACAAAAGGACAAGAAAGCGAAAGAGAAAGAGAAGAAACAGAAAAAATTAAGAGGGAGGGGAAGGTTGGAGGACGGAAACAAACAGACAGACAGTCAGACAAATTGCAGGTAAAACGGAGGAAGAAAAAATTGAAAAAAAAATATGAGTGAGGAATGAGGAAAGGAAGGGAGGGAGTGGAGAGGGGAGAGGGGAGAGAGGGAGGAAGGAGGATAATTAGACATCATACTAGGGATTCCCTGATGAGTATCCGGTACTTGTGAGACACGTGTGTAGTGTATTTTTAGCACTCTTATTGCAAGGTTTCCCCCTCCTCCTCCTCTTCCCCCTTTCCCCTCGTCTTTCTTTTCCTTTTCTTTCTCCTCTCTCTTCCCTCTTCTTTCTTTTTACTTGTTCGCATTGTCTTTTCCCTGTCTCTCAATCGTCACCTTCTACGCTTCTCTCTTGTCCAATTCCCTCTTCCTCATTCTCCCTTCCCCTTCGTCTCCTTCACTTTCCCCCTCCTCCTCCTCCCTTTTCATATCCTCCTTCTCCATCGCTTTCCCCCTTTTCCCATCCCCGCCTCCATCTCCAACTCCTTCACCTTTTCCCCTTTCTCCTTTCCACCATCCTCCCTCCACCATCCCCCTTCCCCCTTCCCTATCCCTCCTCCCCCTTTCCCCCTCCACCTCTCCTTTTCCCTCCCTATTCCCCATCCTTCCACCTCACCTCCTTCCTCCCTATTCCCCATCCTTCCACCTCCCCTCCTCCCTCCCCCTTCCCCTTTACCTCTCCTTTCCCCCTCCTCATCTCCCCGGAACGTCCAATGGCCTGACGGATAAACCCCTCGGAAGGGGGGAGCTGCCCCGTTGCATACCGCATGAGAAATGGGTTATTTATTTAAACGAAATAGCTCGGCTTAATTTTGTTTTGCTGCGATTACGACGCGAACTCCATTTCGCTTTATTGCCTCTGGGGGTTTGAAGTTATTTCTAATCCCGCTAAAACAGGTTTGGGAGGATGAATGATAATTTCATTTTGTTTCGAGTAATCCACTCTGGGCGATGAAATGTATTTGGGCGATTCATTTCATTTCGTTGTATTTCCGGTGTTTTTTTTTCTCCCCCGACGACAGGCTATGTTTAGATCATGAGATTTAATTATGTTTTGGGTAATTGATTATGATGCGAGGATATTGCCAGGATATATTTGGGACCTGGGTGTAGTTGTCGTCTTTCTTGCCTGTTGAACAAAGGGTGGAGAGTTATTTGGTAATCAGAATGAGTTTTTTAAAGATATGCATACACATGGTTGTTAGATGGGGTGAATTTGGGCTCTTGTGTGGACTCGACCGATCTACATTCTTTTTATTTGATTTTATTTTTATTTATTTATTTATCTGTTTTAGTTCATGTATTTGTTTGTTTGTGTGTCCGTTTATTGTAGTTATTGTTTTTGTTTTTGATATTTTTTTATATGCATGTGTCCATGCGGATGTAGGCGGTGAGCTTACTTCTTTGGTTAGTGTCTTGTGCTGGTTGTTGTTGTTTTTGCCATCTAGGTTGTTTGAGCAAGAATAAGTACGATTTTTAAAAAGTGAGAACGATTCTCAGATTCCGCCACGCCTTCTTTCGAACCCCCCCCCCTCCTCATCTCTGTGTTTGTGTGTCACTATTCCCAAACCCACTGCGGTAGTTGCGGCCGAGAGCACTTGCGGCAACGGAGAAGGAAGATGGACGTGGCGGCCGACCGCAGGGCCCGCACGCGCCACGCGCCGACGCTTGCAATTAGCAGGGGGAGAGAGAGAGAAAGAGAGAGAGAGAGAGAAGAGAAGAGAGAGAGAGAGAGAAAAGAGAGAAGAGAGAAAAGAGAAAGAGAGAAAAAAAAAGAGAGAAAGAGAGAGAGAGGGAGAGGGAGGGAGGGAGGGGTGGGGGATTGCGTACATGGACCGCAAATTCGAACGGTTGGTTGGTTGGTCGGGCCGACGCGTGGCGAAAGGATTCTAGGGGAAGTAGGAGGGGGCGGAGGTAGGAAGAAGGGGGAGGGAAGAAAGGAAAGGGAAAGAATGTAAGGGATGGATTTATGGAGGGATGGATAGACGGACGGACGAACGGAGGAAGGGAGCGAGCTTGGAAGGGGGTAAAGGGATAAATTATGGGAGAAATGGAGGAATGGCATGAGAATAAGAGACGAGGAATGGGTAAATGTCAAGGGGAGTAAAGGAAAATGTAGGAGAATGGGAGAGGCTATAGGTAAGAAAAAAAATGAAACGAAGGGAATACGTCACAAAAGTTAAGAGAAAGGAAGGAAGGAAGGACAGGAGTGGTCGGAAAAAGAAAATTAAATATTACCCAATCCCTTTTCCGGCATTGAACAGGATTTCCATTTATGTAACATTTTTTTACTAAGGGAAACGGGGTGAATTAACGAATAAACAAAGGTTAAGGGAAGATGGACGCTTTCAAAAATCTCATTTATTTACATATCTGCGCAGAATCGCAATCTTCTTTCAAAGTCTTTCCTCTGCATGTTATTTATTGGGCTGCAATTGCTTCTCCTCCGCTTCTTGCTTGGCTTGTTGAGAGGAATGTTGCAACGCTGGACCGATGTTGCGCCTCGAGTTTGTTTAGCACATTGTAAATTCACTGTAAATTCACGGCGGTGGCACCTTCTGCGGGAGAAGGTGGGTTGTCAATTTTTGAAGCCGTGTTGTTCTGGAAGGGATGGCGTTTTTACCTTTAACTGTTTCTTTTCTCTCTATGTATGTTTCTCTCTCTCTCTCTCTCTCTCTCTCTCTCTCTCTCTCTCTCTCTCTCTCTCTCTCTCTCTCTCTCTCTCTCTCTCTCTCACTCACTCACTCACTCACTCACTCACTCACTCACTCACTCACTCACTCACTCACTCACTCACTCACTCACTCACTCACTCACTCACTCACTCACTCACTCACTCACTCACCCACCCACCGCCACTCACTCACTCCATTTTGGGGGATATCTTGCTTGCTTATTTTGGGAAAGGGGATTTTTGTACAGAAAAAGAATTACGTCCTCTTTTCGTCTGGTCTTTCCTCTCTGTCTTTGAAGGAGATTCCCTCTTTATTTCTCTCTCTGTCGTTTCCTTAAAGTGGTTGTTGAGCGACGGACCAATTCGCTGGATTGTTCGTTTGCTCTACGCGTATAAATCATTAGGTAATTTACGGTTACCGAACATTCGTGGCAAGATGTTCGTAACGGTCTCGGAATTCTTCAGTGTGGGTTGTGTTTTTCGCGTGTTTTATACCCGTGGTTGTGGGTGTTTTGCGTGTGTGTTTGGGCGTGTGTATTTGGGCGTGCGCATTCATTTTTATGTTTGTGCGTGTGTGTATCAGACCATTGGTGTTCTTGTTGGTTTGTGTGTTTGTCACGTGCACAATATTAATGAGGAGGACTTGAGATTAGCACTTACTTATTTTGATTGTTTTTTGCTGTGAATTTGTAAGATATTGTTTAAAATTTCCGCGTCTTCGTCACGGTGAAGAGAACACGTCGCCAGAAGAGAGTGAACAGAAGAACCAGAAAGCGAAGACAGAAGAACGAAGAGGAACAGTGATAAAACAGAACCGAAACAAGTATCGGAAGTTGTTATTACGTAATCCTTTCACGAAGCCGTCAAGCACTGGCCCAAACACAAGATTCCGGCGCACCGTGCCTTGTTCTGATGTGAAATATGTATTTGAAAGTGATATATTGAGATAGAAACTGACTTATATATTTGAATTATTTTTCCGCTATGTTTTTCCTATTCTGTCGGGTCATATGTTGTTATCTTTGTAGCTGATAATGTAGGTGGATTTATATGATCAAGATTATGGATAAGATGTAGATATGGATTTAGAGATACATATATAGGTGTCTAGATATTAGATAAGATAAGATATTTACAGGCATTTTAGGGGGAAGGTTACTCCTGTTATGGTGATAGAATTCACAGGCTTACGTTTAGAATTATATAGACCATAATCTTAGCTTTACTAAGGCTTATGAGATAGATATATCAGGAGGATACTTATAAGTATAAATGGAGATAAGAAAGAATGATAAGGCTCGGTTGTGAAACGTGAGTGATTTTTGCAGGATATCTGTTTGTGATATGCTATCGCGTGAAGGTTATGTAGATTGCTGAGCGTCTGGGTGGGAGTTGTTTTCACAGTGAGAGCGATAAGGAGTGGCAGTGAGTGAGGGGAGGCTGCAGGTGTAGGAGTGAACAGGTCGCGGCGAAAAGAGACAGAGAAAAGGTTATTTACAAGGTGTAAAGAAGTGTAAATGAAGTGGAGAGAGAGAGTGAGAGAGAGAGAGCGAGAGCGAGAGCGAGGACTTCACGTAGTGGCGGAAGGATCAGGTAACTAGAGAGACTAATGTGATGTCCGGTAGAAATATGTAGTAGGAGAGGTGAATGATAGGTAAAGAAATATCAGGAGATAATTTGGTTGATTACATAGATAATAGTGATATAGCCGCTGGTTTCTCTCTAGAAGTTAGAGGGGAAGAGATGTACGCGTAGTAGCACATATGGCGCAGTGATAGGAGAGAAGGGAGTCGATGGGGGAATAGGAGAACACGCGGTAATAAGAAGGTAGAAGGTGATAGGTAGACATCGCGGAGAGGCTGTCAGCTTCTTCTCATGCGCTAACTAGCGGAAGTGTCAGGTGGAGTTCCATCAGGAAGGAGGAAGTGTCAGCAAGAGTTTTTGGGAACTAGCGTCAGTTCGCGGCAGGGAAGGTAGTGTCAGGGAAAGGAGAGGAGGAGGAGGAGGAGGAGGAGGAGGAGGAGGAGGAGGAGGAGGAGGAGGAGGAGGAGGAGGAGGAGGAGGAGGAGGAGGAGGAGAGGAGGAGGAGGAGGAGGAGGAGGAGGAGGAATGGCTAGCGGTGCAGGGTCTGGCATGGCGCCGAGCTAATATTATTGTGTCATTTTTAGCCGGGTGGCGTTGGCACCGGTGCCAGGGCGAGCGAGGCAGCACCATCGGCAGCGGCGGCGGCGGCTGCGGGAGGCTAGAAGCGTGCAGTAGTGTGGTGAGGTGCGTAACGCGCGGTGGTCCAGTGCAGTGCCGTGTTCTCCTACGCCGTAGCTTGGGATGTGCTGGTGGCGGTGCAGTGCAGTGACCCGCGACACCAGTGATCAGTGTGACGTCACGGGGGCCAGTGATTTTGTCAGTGCGACCGCGCAGTGATCAGTGCTCAGTGTGTGTGGAGTGACCCAGGTGCCGTTTGCGTCGAGGCACCGGTGATGGCGCGCCCGTGGCATCCTGGCTATTATGGTTGAGAATGTGGGCGGTCAGTGCGGGCGTGCGGCGGTCACCAGGGTTGCAAGTAGTCGCGTGGAGTTGCGTGCGTGCCGTGTGCGTGCGTGCCGCGGCGTGCACGTGGTGGGCGTGAAGCCGTGTGACGCGCCCGCGCCCTGCCCTGCGCATTATGGACTGTGTCTGCCCGTGGTGGTGAACCTCACTGACCCGGCCAACGCCCTCGGGACCGTCCAGCCCGACAAGGACGCCATTCTGGACATTGTAGAAGCCAACCGCAGAAAACAGGCCGCCGCCAGGACCAGGAAGGCCTCGGGGGACTCCCACAGCCCCCAGCAGACGTCCCCGTCGCCGCTGGGAGACTCTCCCACCCCGATAGACACGCTGCAGCAGGCGGGGCAGCAGAAGCAGCAGCCGTCCGCTGCTGAGAGCTGGCGCATCGCGCGCGCCGTACAGCGTTGGGCCCAAGGCTTCGGGAAGGGCGAGAGAGAGCGAGACAGCAGAGAGGAAGAGAGGAAATACGAGGAGGGGGCGGGCACGCTGGCCGAGCTGGCTGCAGAGAAGCGGGCAGGGCGCGCGGCCCCTGGCCCCGAGCCGCCCACGGGCGCCCCACGCCATCATGAGGCCGTCCAACTCTTTTCGGAACTGATGCAGACCGACGACGTGTCGACCATAGCGGCGCAGATCGCTAACCAGGCGGAGCTCATCTACCAGACCTGGAAGACGACCGG